CTCTGCATTATTATTATTATTATTATTATTATTATTATTAGCAGCACTGTAGTACTAATATAATTCACCGCATTGCAGCGCACACCTGTCCATTCTTTTGGTTAAATGATGCAGTTATGTTAATACTAATATTAGTACTTGTTATATTTTGTAATATACAGAAAACTGTCATGTACAGCTACCTGTGGGAATGTGGAATGTGCCCTTGTATTATTTCTTAATAGGTTTACGGCGTCATTGCCTCTCTCCCTTGTGTATAGACTCTTCTGAGACCTCTTAAGACAACCGCTCTCTGGAAATTTTTCACTTTCAGCTCATCGATGCATCTCGCATTGTATTATCGGCTTTATATACATTAACCTATATGTGTTTGTATATATGCCTATATTTCTTTGCAGGGGGTATTTCTGACCTTAAGATTTTGTATTTACACTTCGAAAAGACATGTACAGGCTCTTAGGTTAATCGATTAAAATAAGATACAGCTAAAAGTTTAGAATAAACACTTTAATGAGTGAATTATTTGGAATTCAGGAGGGTGTTCCTTTTTTAGCACAAAATATACACGTAAGATATCGTAGTTACAGAGACCAGCAAGTGTACAGTTAAAACACTGTAAGGGGGACAAATAAAAACGCAAAGGTAAAATGAGGTGAAAGAGAAAAAGTATAGGAAAGCAGCTGGAAGAATGAGAATGCATAGAGTTTAAATAGTAGAAATTAATCTATTTATGATGAGGTTCAGATTAGAAGATGGATCTTTGAAGCTTAATTCGTCATTAACACAGGCTGCACCAAAAGCTTTAATGAAGGCCGGTTCCCTTATCTTGAGACTAGCAGTGGTGTTCCCTCGATCCAAGATCTTCACATCCTGGGTACTAATGCGATGCAATTTATCAGTGGCATGCTTTACAATAGCCGAATGTTCTTCAGTTTCATGCTCAAAAGCAGCCGTGTGCTTATTTTTACGGGTTTTAACCGTATTTGCATTTATCGTATTTACGTCATGCTGATGTAAATTTTTGGCAACATTTACAATCCATTTGGTATGGTAAACAGCCAGGTTTTTAAACATAGTCTGTTTTAAATGTTCGCCGTACAAGATGTTGCGTAAGGTGATACCTCTCTTAGAGATGGCTTTGAATCCAGTCTTACGTAGACAGTGAAATGGAGATGGAAACAGATTCAGATTGAAAGGTAAAGATAAGATGTAACGGTTTTGCAACAGTCCGTCGACTTTTAGAACTAAAATACAAAATCTGTCATTTATACTTTAAATTTAGGCCCTGGCAGCTTGTTTCTGCAGCATAATCTCTTTCATACAAGTAATAATTTTTAAGTAATAATTTACCTTCCATCTAAACATAACCGTACTGCGTTATCCTTACCTTACAGTCTGTATCTGTTTTTGTCTCGGTCGCCCTCTAAGTAATATTGGTTTCAAATTCATGTCTAAGAAAGGATCACCTTACACCACACCTAGTATGGCGGTCATTTTACAACAGGATAACTAGTTACGAACTGGGCTGTTTATCGAATGGATTGTTAAAGTTGTAGAAACGTTATATAAGGATGACAAAAAACGGGTAAAGACCTATGACTGAGCATGGAAATGAAGAACATTCGACTACTGTAAAGCATGCCACTGATAGATTGCATTGCATTAGTACCGAGGATGTAAAGATCTTGGATCGAGGCAACGCCACTGCTGGTCTCATTATAAGGGAACCGGCCTTCATTAGAGCTTTTGGTGCAACCTATGTTAGTGACGAATTAAGCTTCAAAGATTTATTAGGACCTAGTTGGAACCTCATCTTAAATAATTTAATTTCTACTATTTAACCTCTGTATATTTTAATTCTTCCTGTTTCTTTCACAGTTACAGTACTTTAATAGTAAACTTGCTGATCGCTGTGACTGCGAAATCTTCGCTGTATGTTACATTTGGAGCTGAAAAAGGAACACCCTTCTGGGTTCCGAACGTTTCACCTATTAAAATATCTTATTCCAAACTTCTAACCGTGTCTCACCTTAATATATTTGTATATTATATGGAGATTCTATATTTGTATCTGATCATATACGTATATTGTCATTTTTTGTCAATGAGTCGCCTTTCTCCGTTCAGCATGTAGACGAGACGGTATGCTGATCAGATTTATCTGTATCTTTTGATGTTTAGCG